GCTAATTTTGTAAGAAAAGGAAAGAATTGCAAGAATATGCAATAAACTTGTAGCAAATAAAAGCATCCTTCAAAACCTCGTGAAAACATAGCAATCCATCCCAAGGTCGAGTTCGTAATTGTGGGCAAACTTGATGACCTAGAAAATAATTTTCAACTAAAGAATAACAAATTTAAAAACACATTTTTCAACCATCAATAAAATTCAAATTCACAAATTTATTTATTTACAGATGAATTCAATTTATTTTTACATCATAGTGATTGCTTGAAGTATTTTTTGATATTAGCGAATATAAAATCTATAATGATTTTTAGTTTTTGTAAATTATACAAATTGAACTAATTTAGACTTAAGTTTATTGTTTCGACCACTGCACTACTATAACCGCATGAATTAATAGCCAAGCCTGTCCATCGGCGAACATTTTGAAACATGCCTAGTGAAATCATGCCTTGCGTATATAATATTTTTTCCTTTCTTCGCCGGATATTTCACTTCGGATACATGCCATTCATTATCTACCTGGGAATGACAAATCAAGGCTATCCATTGGAGCAACCCATCACTTTGATGAGCGTCCTTCTTCCTTTTGCTTCTCCACAATAAATCAGCTTCCACACAAACCCCCATGTACTTATTTTAATCCAATTGACTGTATTATAGATAATTTACTTTTCCTTTCGTTGATATTACAAAGAATTTGGGCTTCAGGGAATAGGGTAGAAATAGGGTCGGCTTCAAAACATCGGACGATTGCCGAGATAGGTAGCCTCGGGGCTGAATGTCTCCTTCAGGAAAGGTCCCAAGGAACTACTTCTCATTAGGAGGTTCTCTGGTGTGTCGCCGGACTTGTTGCTGTAGTTCCATACTTTAGAAAAGGCTTCCCGGTCTGAAGATAGTTGAGCTAGAAGGTAAGCCAATGTCTCTGGTGTCTGATTATTCGCCAAAGCAAGGTGCAAAACGCTTTGCCCACTACTTGTCACTGAATTAAACAGAGAGGATGAGCTAGCATGGGACGGTTACTATACTTTTAAGTACTTAAGTGTTGGGCATTCAGCTGCATTAAGACTTACTGGCAGTGATATCAGCTCCAACCTCTAGCAGCAACTGAACGCAGGCGAGTTGATTCCAAAATGCGGCCGAATGCAGAGGCCTCCAACCATCCTCGGTTTTCGACTCAATATCGGCACCGCTCCGAATAAGAAACTAAAGGTAACACTCTTCCAATATATTCACTACCTCTGCCGCCGGAACTTGACCAGAATATACAGCCCTGTGTAGTGCCGTGTATCCATCCTCATCTTTAGCCAAGAGAAAATCCTTTAATCTCTTCGCCTCATCAGCCCAATTGGGACCAATTTCTGATTCAAGAATTGATTTCATCGTTCCAATGTCCCCCCTCTGGCCAGAAAGAATAAACAACTTCTTTGGGTCCTCTATACTACAGTAAAGTCAAAATCATGCACACAAACTTTTGAGCTCCTTTTTAGTCCAGTAGGAAATATCTTCCTCGTCAGCTTGCCATGCACTTACAAACATACCAGGATTGGTCTCCTTGGCACGCATAACTTCCTCTGTTGTGCGTAACAGATCTTCGTGCACATCATTCTCCGAATCTGAACTCATTCCGTCCTTGGCAGCAAAGAATGAATAAGTTGGGTAGGCGAAACTAACCCCAGACACAGAAAGAACTGCAAAACAATGTACTATTCACAATGCTTTATTTTGCAACAAGTACTATAAATATGCTAGTGGTACACATGGGGGGAGGGGGTAATTGAAATCAATCGTAGATATCATGCTTGTCGCAGACATATTGGACGATATCAAATGGTGTACGAAGTCGCAGTGCATCTGCACTAGGAATGTCAAACGCAAATTCCTCCTCCATAGCTACATTGACTTCAACCATGTCAAGGCTATCAAGACCGAATTCATTGACTATGTCAGTGTGAAGGGTAAGCTAATGTGGATATAATAAATATCACATCTATATATTTGGAATACCTTATTAGGATTGATCTTATCATATAGCTGAAGAACAAGCATAACTCGATCCTCAATCATAAGCTTGTTAAGTGGAGGACCGTGACTAAAATCTCTTTTTTGGACAGATGGAACGAAGAAATGCGAGCATTTTTGAGAATCGATAGCATGCGATCGAACGAATGATCTGGATGATATCTAGGAAATTGGAGTAAATAAATAATTAGAACCTTAGAAAAGTTTGCATGCCCAATGCTGTTACGAAGGTTGCCAACGATATTTAAAAATTTATAATTCATATTGCAAATTACACTTTTGCTTATGAGAGCCAATAATAAGATAGCAGCGAACGTTTCTGTCTGCCGCTATGCATTCTATGGTTTAAAATATTAATCCAACTTGTTTTTTGAATACTATTTAATTCTATAAATTTGATTAATGGGAGCTATATTAATCATATTTATTAATGAGATTTCATTGCTGCACATATTGCATATTGGATCTTCAAATAGCTTATTTTAGAGCATTTGATGGATTTTATAAATTTCCTAAAAGCTTCCTACTGTTGCAACTAGAGAAAAACATGTTTTTTTCAGAATATTCGATTTCCATGTTTTGATTTTTAAAATGCACGAAAGTTTCATTTCTAAAATACTACTAGTTGAACTAACTTTTGTGAACTACATCAATTACCAATGTGTATACCTAGATTTACAAATAGAAATGATGGTGAAACTGAAGAATAGGCTTTCTCTAATAACCACTCAAGTTCGAATGTTAATTGCATTATATATTTTTTATTAGTTAGGCCGCATGTCAAATAAATATCACTACTCTAACTGGTTAACCAGTTAGCCTTCCATTTTC